TATAACGATTAAACAAGTGAGACTTGTCTGAGTGGTGAACGTTAGCTACCTGTTCTAAACCTCTGCAATAAAAAGCCCAAGTAGAACTTCCTGTGGGACTTCAGGTGAATGTGTGTGTTATGCAACATCTGTAAAGTCGCTCACGTGTGACCTGCTTCAGTTTTCGGTTGTTGCACAAGCAGAAACCCTGCGATTGACACGGATGAGTTGTGTCTTGAACTCTCACCCTGCTCGCTGAAGGGGACCAGGCGGTAAACCTTGTAAGGCTCGGAGATGTCCAGCTGGGCTCGATCGTCTACCTCCTCGAACTCGGGGCTCTTGTTGAGGGCGCAGCGCAGGCGGGTCTTCCAGATGGCCGGGTTGTCCTGACCTCCGTCTGACAGCTTCCCTTTAAACTCGGCCCAGGCCTGCAGACACGAGAGGACACGTGTTCTGTTCAAGTCCAGCGGCTCCGGAGACGTTTCTTCAGAGGGTTTTGATAGTTTTCACCCAGAAATGCAGTCTGACCTTAAAGATAGCAGCGTCCTCATCTTTGCGGAAGTCCTGCTTTCCCGCGTGTTTCCACGGGATACGGAACATGGTTTTGGCCTCGTCGTCCCACACCAGCCCGGAAAATTTTCCACTGCTGACCTGACGCAGACGAATTAATAAGCACACATGATGTTTTCACTCAAACACTCTGACCGCAGGAGAAACCCTGCAGACACAACTCAGGGAAAACTAAAACCAAAAGTAAAACATGAGGAGATGAAAACAAAAGATCAGATATCACATATAATATAAATATCAGGATGATGGCTGATTAATCTATAGTTAGAAATAAACTCCCAAATAAGAAGATTTTCTTAGTCACGATTGACAAAAACTAAAACAGGTATTCTTTTACTCTTCTCTGACATTTTAACTTTAAAATATTCACGGTTTCTGGTTCGAAGACGTCTCCTCAGCTCCGACACACAGATGAGAAGTGGTTTTCTTTGTGTTTTCATAAAACATTTAGAACGTGGATCAAACTACACGTCGTAGTGTTTGTAATTACAGGTTTGTTCAAGTCGTTCAAGTGTCAAATTCATCACAAAAGTGTTTTAGAAGAGAGAAAAATCAACATTTCCGATTGACGTCATTGATTATTGATTCATAGACAGTGGTGAGTAGAGGATGTTTGAATGTTTCTGTGAACTCTCCCTTTAGTATTAGTCACGTGTTGATGTGAGTCCAGCTTTGCATCTCCTGGTTTCCCCTTTCCCTTCTCTACCTCCCTCACTCCCACACACACACGCACGCACACGCACGTACACACACAGAGAGAGAGAGAGAGAGAGAGAGACACTCACTTGCTCGATCATCCAGGATCTCAGTCGTCGCGTGCATCGCATTCTTCCCGCAGCCATGATTCTTTAAAATCTGAAAGTAGACGAGCTCCTCGAGTCAACACGTTAAAGACACAGTGTTCATTCATAAGAGACAACAACAGCACGATTATTAGACACAACAACAACAACAACAATAACAACAATAACAACAATAACAGCAGCAGCAGCAGCTCCTCCTCGTGTCAGAGGAAATCCACATTAAAACTACTCGTCCTCCAGAATGTGGGTCCGCTCGGGTCCCGCAGCCATGTTTCTCTCACAGTTGAGAATAACAGAAACAAACAAGCCCACACAGGAAGTCAGCGGCTCCACACGCGGGTCTTATGGTTTTAATTCACGCGTTTCTGAACCGACCCTGGTGCGAGAATTAAAAAAAAAACAAACAAAAAAACGACGATAAATCACGTGTGAAGGAAAAACGAGTGAGTTTAAAGAAGAAACATAAAAAACTAAACAAAACCCAACAAACAGTGAAATCCTGCTGTCGCTGTGAATTCTGATAAACGCCCACATCGGAACAACTTTTCTTAAATTCGCAGGTCGGTGAGCGGAGTCTGGTGAGAGACGAGGACCTGCGGGATTCAGCGTGAAGCTACAGACACACGAGGTTTACCTGGGGCTCCTGTGGCTCCTGGGGCTCCTGGTCGGTGCCGCGGACACACTCACTGACAGCGACCGACGCTCACGGACTCTGCAGCGGAGCAACTCACCGAGCCTTTCACAGAAGTCACGTGACTTAAGAGAAGTGGTCCTGCTCGAGCGCCACTAGGGGGCGACAAACACACACACACACACACACAC